CCCCCCGAGATCACCAAGTCGCTGGGCGAACCGACGGCGGAGCTGCTGGATCCGCCATCGCCGCCAATGTCGGATGCCTCGGCGCAGATGTCGAGAGGACCCGCACGGATCCGGACCCCGAACCCTGCCCCGATGCGCCGCACGAGATTGCCGTCGGTGGACGCGGGCGGCTCGAGAGCTCGTGGAACAACGTCTGCGACGGGCAATCGGGTGGTCACTGGTGGCCGCCCGTCCATCAGCAGTATGGGCAGCATCAACGCCGGCGGCAGCAACAGCGGCGGCGCGCCTCTGCGGACACCGGGTCACCGATCAACCGTGTCGCGCAACAGCAACTACAAGATCCCTGCGTCAAACTCGTTATCGCACATCCGCCTACTTACGGCGCAGATGCAGCGGCTCGAGGCCAGAGTGCACTCGGTGCGCTCCAAGCTTCCGGCGCCCGGCAGCGGCGGCAGCACTCCGCCTCGCCCGGTTTCGCGACCCCCGATACTCGCCGCACCACCTCCCACCGCGCCGACGTCGCTCACCGTTCGATCGCGCAAGCGAGCCACCACGCAGTCAACCGTATCCACGGTATTTACTGGAGACGACTTGACGCCCACTAGCAGTTATGCTTCGTCATCTAGGACTAGCCACACGCCTCGGCTTAGCACGTCGGGCGTTAACAAGCTCTCGTTTGGCACGCTATCCAGCGGTCACGGCCGGGGCAACGAATCGGAGTCCAGCCGGCCGGTCTCGCGGGCCAGCCACACCTCTTACGGCAGGCCGCCGTCTCGCAACGATCTGCCTCCACCACCGCGGCCAATGTCGCGAAGCTCCTTCTCGGCAGGAACTCGGACTCCCCTCGGCCGGCCAGCGTCCTCTTTCGGCAACTCTGGACGCGGACACTCTGGTAGTGTGAGCGGCGTCGACCTGCTGGGAGAGGACTATGAACCCGTTTACCGCACGCCTAGCAGGCGAGGCACGTTTTCCACCAGGTACGATTTAGGAGCAGGCATCAGCGGCATCCCGACGCCGGGCAGTAGCATTCCCATGCCGGGCAGCGGGATTCCGGCGCCCAACCTGAGGCGGCAGAGCGGAAGCAGGAGAATCAGCCTTAGCAATGGCAG